AACTTGTTCTGGTATGGTTTTATTTTATTTTCTTATATCGAATAAACATTTTGACGGCAAGTTAAATGATCCGAATATCATTACCTTTCATCCAAATTAGATCTTTGGGGAACAAAGACGAATTTAGCGAGAAAAGACCTGGAGGGGAGTAGATCTGACAAATTTGTTTTTTTTTCATTTTGGAGAAAATTGTCACTTAATGTAAGTGGTCACCCGCCCACAATAGGTGCACTCATAAAAGGGACAACTTTTTTTCTGTCAAAAGCTGATGTATTGTACCACCACTTGATTGCAGTTTATGTAGAAATGTTTTCTGAGCCGATGAAAACCAGTCCTGATCGCAGAGACTGTTTAGTTATTGAGAAAAAATCGTTTTAGTGAAGAGATTCGATGGTTGATGATCTCATTCATAAATCATATTCGTGTTCGCCAGAGTCAGTTCTGTCTGATCATGCCTTCAGAATATGAAAACATCGGGCAGCAGTTATAGCAACTTTTCGGGACGGTGTCCTTTATTTAGTTCAAACAAGTCGAGTTTAAAATATCAAAAAGCACTTTCTTTCTTTAACCGCACTAAACTCACGTGATTGATAAAGAAATTGTGACAATGAATTTGTCTTTTCTCTGGTTAAGCGTTAGGACGACGATTAATAAATGAATGGGTGACCACTACTAAAGATCGAATCACCGAATTATTTCGGTGATGTCTGTCATACATATTCTCAAGGTAAGGTAATTATTGAATACAGTGGAAAAACGGCGATGCTATTATCGAGTAGTACGGTAGATTTTTTTTTTTTTGATTACGCGAGGGTGTATTGTCCACGCTCTGGAGCGCTTGCAAATATAAGAGAATATACGAAGAATAATCACAAAAAAGGATAAGACTGAGCAACATATAACGACGAGCCATTTATATTACTGATAAAGGGCTGAGTATACAGAACACAGGAAAAAGAGGAACAACAGAAAAAAATAATAACACTAGTAAATAATAAAACATTATTCCTTGTTTCTGTTTTAACAAACAAATTCTAACCATTCATCGAGGGAAGATTCGCGCTTACGTATCATTTTTTTATCCCGTCTCATACAGAAAAGGTGACCACACTCTGAGGACCCCTCATGAAAGTTTTCCCAGAAAAATAGATCGTTAAAAAAGAAGGATGAATACAAATCTGTTTCCTATAACTTTGACAACCTTCTAGAAATATACTTTTTTATATAATGAACCAGGGTAGATTCTTTTATGACCTTAAAGATATCCTCAGTCTTTATAAAATGACATCTGTAGATAATACGAAGACCCACTCGATATTTTCTAAGGAATAATTCTTGTTGCGTTTGTGGAAGTAGCGGAGAAGGGAAATATCCAACTAAAGAATGGGAACGAGTAAGCGAAAAAACACGATCGTAGCACACTAGGTGATATTTGTCTATTTCTATTTAACCATTTCAGTTTAAAATACGATTTATCTATATTTTCTAAACATTTTTCAACAGTGTGTTTTAGGGTGAGTTATAGTCCATATAAAATCTAGTTATTTAAATTGGGAGACCATTTTTAGTTTACCACCGTTACTATAAACATCACTACAACGTTTTTTTACTTGTGAATAGAATAACTGTCCCACTGTTTTCGAGAAGTTAAGTGATTGTTTCCATTGAATGGAGTACTCGTTTATTCTCTCACATATCTTAGAGCCTTGCTCACTCAAATAATCCAACATTTTCTGTAGTTTAACACTTATTGGAGGAGTTATCAAAATTGATAGATCATCCGCGAAAATATGAGTTGTATTCGCCCCTGCTTTGATTACTAAATCTGAATGAAAAATTATAAATAAATATGGGCTTAAAGAACTACCTTGCGGTAAGCCTATTTTTAACTCAAACAAATTTGTTTTAAATTTACCAAATTTAATTATAACTATACGTAAATGTATGGTTTTTCAAGTAGTAGTACTACTAACGATGAACTTTATCATTAGCCAATTATTATTGATGCTTCTTTATCGTTTTATACACATCCCTATTTCAATCAACGTTATAAATAGCTGCGTGAAATAGTATAATTAATTAACTGATATTAAATAGTGGGTGTGCTATTACCTGTTCACAATAATTATTTATTTGGCAAATGTACCGTTAACTAACCTGACATGAAGTATACTTCTGTACTGTTTACATAGAGAAAAGTTGATTAAAGTAATCATTGCTTTCGCCAATATTTAAGGACGAATATAATAATGTAAAAATGATGGTGTTCTCTTATTCATTTTGTCTAGTAATTGTCAAATCTTGAGTAAAAGAACGAAAAGAAAGAGAAAATGTAATAAACAAGTAAGAGTAGGAAAAAAAGAGCATAGGTTCGAAAGGAAAGTATACACATAAAATAATATTGTCATGGTTCAGTAAAGAATGATGATGTACACAGAAAAGATTAACATTATATGTTTATTTGAAAAAAACAGTGTAATATTGTAAAAATTAGTGAGAGCATTCTTTATGTTATATTCGTCCAAAATGTTGATAATTACAATGTCCTCGCATGGTTTTGAACAGTGAGGCCGTCGATTGAGCACCTTCAGTCGTATCATAGACATAGTGGCTATCGAATATACACTTCAAAGATGCAGGTCAATGTACAAAAGCTTTTTTTTATGTAGAATATTTTATGTACTACGATGTTTTGAGTACTGAGGCATAACAGTCAACATGGAATCATCTTTTTTAAAAATATTTTTATAGAATTTATATCTTCCACTTATATTTTTATGCACAAATTGCCTTCAAAGGACGGGGGACGATAAGATATACGGACTTTTAGTATTTCTGATTCAACTTTAACCATAAAAAGGTATCTACTAAACATATGATAAGATCTAGATGAGGACAAATGATAAAAAAAGTAAGAAGTCAAATAGATTAGACTAACCATTAACGTAGACAAATTTTTTATCAACAAAAATTGAAATAATTTTTCAAGATAGGTTTATGATGATTAGAATTCAAAGGACAGGGGACGATAAGAGGCAAAATTGATCCACGCTCAAATCAGTTTTATGTTAATTCATCTGATGCAGTTTTTGCCCACGATTAAAGCTAACATACTTTCCAAACCATATAGTCTGATAGAGCGAAGAAATCTGAGCAAAATAACATATCTCCCGGCATTCTATAGTGCTTTTTCACCGCAATAGTTTGGTAACTCTCACGCCCTTTGTAGCTAGTGATAAATCGATTGCAGTTAAGTGAAAAAGCACTATAGAGTGCCGGCAGATATGTTATATTATAATATATTTAGATATGTTATATTATTATATTTATTTTGCTCAGATTTCTTCGCTCTATCAGACTATGTGGTTTGCAAAATTTTCTGACCAAATACTAAGGACTTGGTTTTCCAGCGGTCAGGTTTTCCAGAAGCTCGATTATCAACTTTTCTCATAAAAGGGCGATATGCACTTCATCTGATAGAAAAAACCTTCGGGCTATTCAAAACATTATTCAGATTGGTTCCAGCTTTTACTAAAAAGTCAAAAATAAGGGAGGTCTTGTGATTATGACACACTGTACTGCTTAGATAACACTCAAAAGCTTCTTTTCCGTATCTTTAATGACTAACTACACCTGTCTGGACATTGTGACCAGCTCACTTGTAGAAAATTTCAAGGGCTATCCAATGGTATGTTTTTGAACAATACATAATTTTTCGTTATAGCAGAGAAACGACTAACGGAGTGTTCAAAGCACTAAGATAGGTGAAAATCATTATATCGGCCAAGTATTTCAACTATTGACCAATAGGGACATATTTTGAAAGACTTATAGCTCATTTTGAAGTTCGTGAAATCTCTATCGAATGACATATAAAGTGGAGTAATTCACGAGAAAATCAATGGCTATTATAAACATGAACTACGTTGACCCACGGGTTTGCTGTGATGCTACCGAGTATTTCGGAGCTTAGACTACCCAGTTACATTTTCTTAAGATCATCTTATACATCATTTTGAAGCTCGTGAAATTCTCTATCGCATGATGTATAAAGTAGAGTGGTTAACGAGAAAATTAGTCACCGTTATAAATATGAGCGACGTTGACCTACCGGTTTCCTTGGATGCTACCGAGCATTCCGGATCTTAGAGTATCCAGTTACATTATCTTAAGGCTATCCCATTTATCATCTTGTAGCTCGTGAAATTCTCTATCGAACGGTGTATAACAATTGATATTTGCTCTGGGTAAAACAGGTTGAATAATGTAAATACTTTGAGGAAACGTCGCTTAATGCGAGAAGAGTTTTTTTGCTAAAAGGTTTCCAGGGGCACTGAGAAGGACTTTTAAGATTTAAAAATATGTTAGTATTAATCGTGGACAAAAGCTGCATCAGATGAGTTAACATAAGACTGATTTGGGCCAATCTGAGCGTGGATCAATTTTGCCTCTTATCGTCCCCTGTCCTTTGAATTCTAATCATCATAAACCTATCTAGAAAAATTATTTCAATTTTTGTTGATAAAAAATTTATCTACGTTAATGGTTAGTCTAATCTATTTGACTTCTTACTTTTTTTATCATTGGTCCTCATATAGAGCTTATCATATGTTTAGTAGACACATTTTTATGATTAAAGTTGAATCAGGAATACTAAAAGTGCATATATCTTAAGAAAAACAATTGTAGATTTTACTGTTTATTTAAATATATTATGTAGAATATGTCCTACTTTATTCGCATAAAATCCAAAACGGTCACAGTATTATAACGTATATATATTTTCTATCATTATCTTAAAGCGTCCTTGACGTTAAAAATTATGCATGTTATTCATAGTAACGCGCCCACCGAATAAATATTCTATTTATTTTCTTCTCCGCGCATCACTTAAACGATATACAGGTACATTAACATTAATAGAACAGATACATAAATTAGCTTTAAAATCGTTGTGCATCTATAAATTCATCACTATTTAAAGTCATTATAGTTAAGTGATGGATATTGATAATTCCATTCAAAAAGAAGTGCCTGTTTTTTATCCAACATATGATGAATTTAAAAATCTTTCGGCATATATTCTTTCACAAGAACAATATATTATTCGTTCACAATGTGGTGCATTTAAAATTGTTCCACCACTTCGTTGGATACCTGTTACCAATTGTTTTTCCGATATTCGTATTAAATCTTATTTAACTCAAAATATTATGCCTACATCAAAAAATAATCATATATATCATATTAAGAACACGTCAACAACAAAACGTCGTCATATGTCATATGATGAATTTAAACGTTTAGCTGAAAGTGAATCTTATCGTTTATCTGACTTAATTAATGATGTTGAAGAACATTTTTGGACAACTATTAGTGATTATATGTCAGCGACGTATCCACCACTATATGCAGCCGATATTCATTTTAGTTTATTTGCAAAAAAAGAGACAACTTGTAATTTTAATCATTTAAAATCTTTACTTAATTATTATCCAGCAAATATCAAAGGTATGCAAATGTGTCAAAAATCTTTGTCTTTTTTTACAGGTCATCGTAACATTAATTTCATCATCACTTTTTAAATTTCTTAGATATTTATAAAAGTTTGCATATGCTCCTTCATCATAAATAAAATTTTCTCCTTAATTCTTTATACAAAATTTTTTAAATGAGAATTATTTGTCCAATTTTTACATTGAAAGTTCAAGTTTAGACAAGAGTGTCTGACTAAAGAAAAGTAGATAGATCACATATCGAGTTTTAGAGAAATGGAGTTTTAGGAAAGATTCTCATACAATGCATTTGGACTTACTGAATGTTTACGGAAGTATTTTGTCTAAAAACTATTTCCCGTTAATTTATCTTCCTTTGACTTTTTCTATCATTTCTATTTTATCACTTGCGAAAATGTCAATATACACCTTTTTTTAAATCAGAAAATAAACAGTATCTTGCGAAAATCGACTGTCGTACATTTTCGATTTTTTTTATTTTTCAGTTCTAGGATAGTTCATTGTTCTACTAGATGACGTAAGAGTGAACTATTGAAACTGTATAGAATATATGGTATAAAGATGGAATCACTTTATGTTATAGTTGAAAAAATTTCGGATTGCTGTGTGCTGTATCCGGTCTTATAGGTTTCATGAAAGTAGGTCATTATATGGACAGAAAACTCCACATACTAGTAGAACTTTTAGCACTTCTTTCAACTGTTACTTAGTTTTTATAACAAAAACGGCTCGAATACAAGACTTCATCAGAAAGTCAAAAAAAAAAGAAACTTCAAGACTTGGTATAGGACAAACGAAGAGGTATTCAATAAATCGAAACTCTCCTAAAACTTATGTCTGATACGTACTGGAGATGGATGGGATTCGTCGTGGATAAGAGACGTTTTTCTATAAAAACTAAGTAAAAGTTGAGAAAAGTGCTAAAAGTTCTTCTAGTATATGGAGTTTTCTGTTCCATATAATGACCTACTTTCATGAAACCTATAAGACCGGATACAGCACACAGCAATCCGAAATTTTTTCAACTATAACATAAAGTGATCCCATCTTTATACCATATATTCCATACAGTTTCAATAGTTCACTCCTACGTCATCTAGTAGAACAATGAACTATCCTAGAACCGAAAAATTGAAAATATCGAAAGATTGTCTTGTTTGACGCAGATATTTTGCAACAATGTCAACCTGATGTTTGATAACCATATCTCAGCTTATGAGATCACATTCGTATATAAACTGACTCGATCACAGTTAGTCACAGCTCGAAGGCTCTATCATTTGAAAAAATCTATCGTCGGGAGTATCATTTCTATCTATGTGACTCTCAAGAAATGTGGGGCACGTTGTCTAAGGAACAGTTACAATAAAATTTTCAAGGCTTCATCCTTCAGCGTTCTTATATCATACACTTCATGTTCTCTCACTGTCGAATCAAATGATGAAAAGATTCTATGGACAAAATACATGTGATAAAAGACTCATGTCTGATATTTTGTTGTCTAGAATGATGGATGTTCTTAATAGTTTCTGTTTAACTTTTCTATAGAAAAAGTATTCTCACAGAAAAATGAAATCGAAACTCGAAATAGTATTTGATCTATCTCTCTATCCACATATATTATCTCTAGTTTGAGACTAAGTCGATCTCTGTAGCTGTTACTTTGATGAAGACTGTGTACAAATACGAAGTAGTGTGAATGTGAGATACAATGCATTTTTTGAACTGTCTAGCAAGGTCATCTTAACTTTTGAATGGAACTTCATACAGAACTAGAAGATGTCTCATTTTGATCAAGAATATTTGTTCTACATGTTGTTACCATTGACAAAACCTTTTAGTCCGCTTGTTATTGGAACTGTACAGCTTTAAGAACAGTCGACTTTTCAGGACTTCGCTTTAAATCTGATACGGTGAGTATTAGTTGAATATAGACTTTTCACTAAAATTTTGTATCTGGTATTATTTTAACGAAAGTAGTCTATAGTATTGACAAAATAAACTCTCAAGCTATTTGTTGACTTCTTTTGCACATTTTAATTACTCTTTCTTAAGTGCTTTTAGATAGTAAATTTAGATACTAATGAACTAAAGAATTCACTCTTTTCGTTAGATTTATTACTACACAACTTAGCTATTCCACATTTCAAATTTATGTTTGAGAATCGTGGTGATAGACCAATACGAAATACAAATTATTTTAATTTAATAGTAGTAATTGATTCATTGAATTATCAAATTCAGATGAATTTTATCACAAAAAAAGCTTGATAAAGGAATTTAAAAAGCAATAATATAGTAGAAAGTTTATATACGCACAAGATCTTTCAAGTTTTCATGATCTTACAGAATTCTAACAATTCTTGTCAAGGTCATGATCATGTTTTCTTGAAAAATCTATCTGCGAAAGTGATGATTAGGATCTGTTTTACAATCCATCTTGGAAAATCTTGATTAAAATCTTGAAAAGATTCAAAAACTTTTCAATAATTAATAAGATCTTTGCTCACAAAGATGATTAGTGACTAAGACGATTAGTGATTATGAAATGAATCAGAGATTGGACAAAAATGTCAGTATGATAATATTAGCCTTATTTATGGTTATTATAGTACTAAAGTGTAAAGGACTGCTAAAAATTTGTTTGATCTGTATGACAGACAGACAGACGAATATATCATTCTTTTTATTTTTGAATTTTCAAATCTGTTCAGATTCTAACTAATTAATGTAACTAGTGTACAACTAATTATTTAGAATCTATTTCAGATTTTAATCAAGATTTTGTTCAGACAGATTCTAATACAAAAATTGTGAAAGATTTTGAATTACAAGTCAGATTCAAAATCTTGAAAATATTTCAATAAATTTGTACAAGTTTTTTAATGCTCTCGGACGAAGATTTATTAATGTTAGCATTCAAAATTTTTCTCTTGGCTTATTAGACATTTTTTTAACGTATATAACAGCAGTGGATAAATTCAAATAGTGATGTTGGTTTAATAATAGACAATTAGTTAATACTTTCATGATTATTTCTTCTATATTATTAATACATAATATTCTTTATTTATAGGTATAACATCTCCCTTTCTTTACGTTGGTATGTGGGGTAGTGTATTTGGTATGCACACCGAAGATTGTGATCTTTATTCATTAAATTATCTTCATCATGGTGCAGCAAAAATTTGGTACGTTATACCAGAAGCATACGCAGAACGTTTAGAAAATTTTGTTTATCAAAATAATTTACTTGAATTAACCGGTGATGAAAAATTATGTACAGCTCCACTTCAACATAAAACACTTCTAATTAATCCACATGTTCTTAGACAACATAATATTGAATTTCATAAAATTGTACAAAAACAAAATGAAATTGTTGTTATACTACCACGTTCATATCATTTTGGTTTTAATTGTGGATTAAATATTGCTGAAGCAATTAATTATGCACTACCATCTTGGATTAATTATGGTTTAAAAACTAAAATGTGTTCGTGTGTACACACAGCTGTTAAACTTAATATGAATTATTTTACCAAAGATGTTCTACAAAGATTTGAACAAGATGTTGGAAGCATAGTGCCCACATCAAATCAAAATAATGACGATCAACAACAACAACAACAAGAACAACAACAACAAATACAACAACAACAAGAGCAACAACAACAAGAACAACAACAACAAATACAACAGCAACAAATACAACAACAACAAATACATCAAATTTCTCAAGCAGTAGAACTCTTTAATGGTAAGTGTCAATAATAAATATTTATAAAATAATTTAATGTCCACTAACAGTTTCAAATTAGAATTTCAATATTGTCGAGTCAAATAATATTCAGATGATACTTAAAAAATGGTTATTAATAATCACTAACATTGTTGAATGATATGAGCTGCATGGTACTCTACTCTCATTGTAGAATTAGATTTATATTTTACTAAATTATAGAGTCAGAAAGATATTGACGCCTTTCGAATGTTAGTTAATAGCCATTCTTTAATATTCATTTAAATATTATTCAATGTTAGTATACAAATACTTGTCAATGATCATTAGCAACAGAATCAGGTCATATTCAGTTTTTTTTCTTCTTCTTCTCATTTAGACATTGATTGTCGTTTTCCAGATTCTACACATAATGAACTTATGCTTGATGATCCAGCTTGTGTTGATTTTGATGATGTACAACTTTTTAATGATATAAGCAAAGTTTATACGTATACAAGTGAAATGTCTTCTCCACAAAAAAATGATGAAGATAAATGGAAACATTTTGAAGATAAACTAATGAATCAAATAAGAGTAAATATGTCACAATATGTTGTAACACCAACATTATCACCAACACAATCCACTCATTTACATACCGTACCAAAACGTATGAGAAAACGAAAATGTTATTGTTGTCAACGATACGGACACTACAAAGATTATTGCCCAAAATATCTTGCTATTAGAAACAAATAAAAAAATATTTTTAAAATTTTGGCAATTTAATGTGGAGTATCCAATCTAGACAACTACTCATTTTCAAAGGAGAGGGAGGATGAATTTTTCAACACAGACTTCTTGATAAAGATTATGTATTTGCAAGACAGTTATACCGGATTTGATGAATACCAGTTTGGTCTAGTGTAATATACAGCATACCTGTGAATATGAATTTAATTAAACTGAAAATAAAAATTACTTATTTATTTTTTATAAAAACTTAGAAAATAGACTTTTAATTTAGTACACGATGTCTACGTTATAACTTTGTAAAGATTGAGCAAGATATAAATAAATAAAGTGTTTTCATCTAATAAAAAGTTAATTGTTTTTGGTTTGCATGATGATTTGAATTAGGGAAAGAGATTAATTATTGGATAATTTCTTACCAACTACTAATCTCTAATTGAACAATGTTAGGCTTATTTTGAAATAATACGTTTACTCTTATTATTTCATAAAATCATATAAAATATATTTAGATTTTTATATAAAAATCATATTTTTGTTCTTTTTACAACGAAATATTTAATAATAGTATTTATTCTATGATAATGAATAAATTTTGCTTTGTATGAACATTCAGTTTTTTCACTCCTTATTTTCTTCACGGCTTGTCCACTTAACGGCCTGCCCTTTTTTAAAAAATAATTGCAATAAAGCTACAAACTAATAATCTAAAATTGCAACTAGATAATTAAGTAGATTAAACATTTCTCTACAAAATGAAAAATGTCTGGGCTCTGAACGTTGATTCGGTATATAAGTACAGCTGTTGTACAAACAGCCCAAAAAATCGATTTTGGGGCTATCTGAGAAGCGTGTCTAAAAGAGTGAAGACGAGCTGACAAAAATTGAACAAGTATACCAGTTTGTAGAAAATTGTTTGCTCTACAAGATGTGGTAGCTTTTCAAGTTCGAAATTATTCTAATTAATCGGTATTAATCAAAGAAAACCGTGCCGGTGTGACAAAGAACGGTCAAAAGTGTCAAGGTTTTCCTTTGATTAATACGAATTAATTAGAATAGTTTCGAATTTGACAAGCGAATGTTACGCACGGATAAGTTGTGACAAAATATAAAATCCTTATTTATGGTTCGAAGGATGATTGATAAACAAAGAAATACGAAACACAATAGCACTTATTATATATTTCTTAAAAAAACAAGGTACGTAATGACTTTTTAAATATCTCGAGAAGGAAATGTGCTAGAGATTTTGGGTTTTCACCATTCAGAAGAAGAGACTTTGGAATACATATTTGCATTATTCAAGCACAGATAAGAATTTTATATTACATGAGCAGTCTACGTGCGTAACACGTAGAATTGACGCCACCTCCATTGTCTAATGGAACCATATTATAGGTTACTTAGCTCATTTATGATTGGAAGGGGAGGGGGTGCGTAGAGTTAAATGATATCGAAAACATGAGTTAACTCCGATCCGGTGATATGTACCACATTTCCTTCTGGAGATATTTAAAAAGTAGTCACATGCCTTGTTTTTCGAAGAGATATATAATAAGTACTATTCTGTTTCCTGTTTCTTTGTTTATTAATCATCCTTTGAAGCATAAATAAGGATTTTAAATTTCGTGCGTAACATTCGTTGTACACAACTATCGTCGTGCGTATCTTTTGTATACCTAAGTTTGGATAGCGTAAGATATATATATTTGGATCCATACTCTTTTTGCCAATATCAAAGGTTTATGAAAAAGGCTGTAAAAACTGATTTTACTGAAATGCTAATATTTTATAATTATTTTATAATTATGACAGTTTTACTATCCTATAATCTATCCTCTTCTGATACATTAACGTTGGTTGGAGCGCCATATACTAACAATATTGTTCTCTCCTCCGACATCGAGATGTATTTCGTAAAATCTTAGATTTTCAGTCATGAAACATAACACTATAGTCTATTTTCTCCATGTGTTAGTACATTAAATTGTCTAGCATGGTGAAAAATAATGTGCTTGAACAATACTATGTGGGCGCCACATTAACTTCATATGACCCTAGACTCTCAGTCAGGAAAATAACTTAGAAAGTTTTTAATGAATTGTACAACGAAAAACTTGGAACAAAAGAACACCGATTTATAGTCATAACAACAATAACAAGAGATAACCATAAAAAAAAATAACAGTAACCATTATGAACCATTTAGAACCATTGATGATTTACTTTTGAAAAGATTCTAAAGTCAGTTAAAAATAAATCGATTTGGTCTGAGACTTTCATCTTTTTTTACTCTGCAGAAGTTACACATGTGGTGAAAAAAATCAGCTTAAAAGCGTTCAATATTAACAGAAAAGTCAAAAATTACGACTAATATATCCACGGCATTTTTTGGAAAAAAGTCTTCACTAACATTAAACGGATAATGTCTCTCCGAAAATCTAGTCAGACTTATTCTATACCATTCGATTTCCCGTCAGAAGGTGAATCATACCATACGTTTGGGATAGCTCACGTAAGGCCTGGTAAGAAAAAAATTCTAGAAAAGCAAGACATAGAACTTTTCTTAGTTTTCGAGTGAAAAACATTTTCCAAAACATCTTTTCTATCGATATTGCTGTAAAAATGTTCATACTTTAAGTCTACAAAAGAATTTCTCAGCTAATTAGTTAATTATTGCGATAGTGATATTTAGCGGATAACATCGTGGACTTCACAAAGAAAAATCTAAAAATTTCAGAGAATCTTGGTGACTGTAAGATATACTTCTAGTAAGATTGTTAAATTAATTATTTTAAATATAAAAGCCACATGCACGATTTAATTCGTCATTCCCAAGCAGAAAAAAAATCGGGGAGTGTATACCGGCAGCTACCTGACCCAATTTTTAACCCGTCAAAGCTAGCTTAACCCTCATTTCACCACCTGTGATCTACCTATATTCCATCGGATTTCTTTTCAGCTTTCTTTGTAGAAAGTATTAGCGCTTATCATTTCAACTTGTTCGCGGTAGCTGTCGATATGACGTACCGTCAATATATACTAACCTCAGCTAATGACCGCTGATCGAAGTTGAGAAACCAAACTTTCATTCAAATGTGCTTGTCCGCGTGGGGTCCGTACGAACCTCAGGTGGTGAAATGAGGGTTAAGTGAGTTAAAGCTAGCTGATGTGCTTGAATTCGACGCTAATCGCTCAATTAAGCGCCGACTGAATCGGCCGCTTGCAGTTAATAAGTAGGTACTTGTTCAGCGCAGCTAGCTATTTGACGTAAAAAATCTACTATTAAGCGGGCGCTTGAGTTATTTGATAAGCTAGATTTCCTTGCTCACTCATTTTTGCCTGGGTTACAAAAACCATCAACTGGTGTAGAGTAGTGCTACCTTTGGCATTGATTTATGTCTTTTTTCGTAGTTTCCAAGGGTCCTTGGCCTTTTTAGAAGGTATTTAACTTCTCAAACGGAATGAAAGTGGCAGTCAGAAAAGTATTTTATTGTAATCAGGAACGGTTCTAGAATTTATAGGAATACTCAAAAAATGCTTAACTCTAATTTCATTTTTCGAGTTTATTTTTGACTGAGTGGTACAACGACGTTGCAATTCATTCAAATATATACGTGATAAATAGGGTGTTCTCTTAGTTCGTCCCAAATTGGCGTTGTAAAATCAAACAACATCAGAGGGACGAGCAGGTATGATAGTTTTCGAGAAACAGCAGTTTTACCACTCAGTACCTTTCTGCACAATAAATGAAATAAACAGCACTCTGTGCTCTGTTAAATTCATGTCCAAGATTGATTGACTATATTTTCATAGACATTCTAAAACGTCAAAATTTATCTTTTACATCTATTATTTGATCATTCATGAAGAAAAAAATTACTTTAGGTGTGTATGAAATTACACTAACCTAATGGGCGTGGTGGAGGATTAATGATTGACCGAGGACGATCAGTTTAGAAACGCATTATAACAGTAAATAAAAACACAAAAACAGATTGACACTCTGTCACACCTAGTTTTAAGTATGATTAATGAGTTTTAGCGAAAAAAATCCATGTGTAATTTAACACATTAGCGGTGATGTAGGTCACCGGTGGCCTACAAGAGTCTTCAGAAGTATCCTTCCTCTGTAACTGAAAAATTGAAAATTAGCTAAAAAACGTGGTTTTTCCGACTTTTCACTATGAAGATGTTGTCCAAACTTGAGCCTAGAAGATGAAATGTAGCAAATTGAATTTTCTGAATTTTGTCTGCTAAGCTCAGCTTTGTATAATAACCAAGTATACCGTGACTGGTGGGTCACATCGCTGCCAGCGAGTTAATTGATCTCTCAAGTCGCATTGGACATCTACTCAGTTTTTCAGATAAGTTTTGAAAAGTAGGGGTTCGCATTTTTTATATACTTTCTCATAGAAAAATCGCGCAGAGTGCAATTACATCTCAAAATCTTAAGTATATTTTCTTTAATTCAAACTGTTACAGAACTTCGAAAATCTTGTCGTTCGAAACTTATAGGAGAAACAACATGTATAAAAATGGTAACGGAATTTTACGACAGTCTGTGTGTGGTTTCACCCTTGAACCTTTTCATGAATGACGCTAGTGATGATAATGAGACGTCTGTTAGTTCTGTGTGAGGTTCCATTCAAAAGTTAAGATGACCTTGCTAGACAGTTCAAAAAATGCATTGTATCTCACATTCACACTACTTCGTATTTGTACACAGTCTTCATCAAAGTAACAGCTGCAGAGATCGACTTAGTCTCAAACTAGAGATAATATATGTGGATAGAGAGATAGATCAAATACTATTTCGAGTTTCGATTTCATTTTTCTGTGAGAATACTTTTTCTATAGAAAAGTTAAACAGAAACTATTAAGAACATCCATCATTCTAGACAACAAAATATCAGACATGAGTCTTTTATCACATGTATTTTGTCCATAGAATCTTTTCATCATTTGATTCGACAGTGAGAGAACATGAAGTGTATGATATAAGAACGCTGAAGGATGAAGCCTTAAAAATTTTATTGTAACTGTTCCTTAGACAACGTGCCCCACATTTCTTGAGAGTTACATAGATAGAAGCCATACTCCTAAAGACTGGTCTTTGACAGGAGTAGTGCTTGCTCTTTCATATGTAAAACACATGAAAACATCGTGAACAATTTTGAGTCTTATCTCTACTATCTGTCTTAATTGGTATTTTTAACTTTTTTGTTCTGTTGGAGCGGCTGCTGTTTCTTCTGGTTCAATCTTTTTTTCTTCCTTTTTCTTTTCTTCATGTTTTACTGCATTTCCACCAAATTTCGCTGTTTTACCATTAATTGGTCTCTTCTGATGTTCGCCCTCAAGGTATTTTTTTAGTTCGGGTATCTCACGAAATTGTTTCATATATTTCAATACTGTTGGATATTCTTCCCATGTATCATTTGATAATACCCAACAACAATCAATATATTCAAAAAATTGAAAATCAGCTGCTGTCAATTGATCACTTAGTAACCATTTTTTTCCATGTTTAGACAGAAAATCATCATACATTTTTAAATGTATCGGTAATGTTGATTCACAAAAATTTTTTTTAACCGCTTCAAAATTAATGGCACGATAACAAACATTGTTTAAATCACTACGTAAATCATGTGATTGATCAATAAGTAATTCAATCATTGATGTTTCATGTTCAGTTTTACCCATGAGGTTGCATTTTCTTCCCAAATGAGTTAAAATCGATTTACTTTGAGATAATTTTAAATCGCCATCAATTAAATAGGGTAAATTTGGAAAATCTAAGCCCAATGTTGATTTTTCTTTAAGCCATTGCTCACGTGAGTAATCAGGAGCATCACCAAAACGATATAATTTATTTTGAAATGGTGTCTTTGTATACTGAAGTAATAAACGTGATGGTTCAACAAAGCCACGTATATCCCAATAGCCAAGGATAAGTTCGTTGCCTTTAGATGACATTTCTTGAAATTCTAAAACGGATAATTCTTATTAAAAAAGTTTACTTTATCGAATAAATACATTCATCACGATAGCCTGGTAAATTCGGTCGCAGAAGGATGTGAGGCTAACTCACAAGAGAAGAACCAAAGGAGAGTGATACGGTTAGATCGTACTTCAAAGGTATAATGTTTAAATTTTAGCGACTCCAGTGACATAATACTCTTGGTACTTATGCTCGTTATCTCATTCTTCGACTCATATAAAAACGTACTAGGGCTTGCCATGCTGTTCGACTACTCGTGCGCAGAGCTAGGTAACTCAACTAAACTCTGAGTTGAGCTGAGTTGAAAATTTAACATAGAAAAGGAAAAAAACGAAAAAACACGTCTATTCTTATATGTACACTGTAAGGTTGGAAATTATTTATGGAAAATGTTCCGCGAATTTCAAAGAGTACCTATAGGAATTCCTCGAGGATTTTCTAGTTTATAGAAAATCGAATTTCCAACAATCTAGAAAATCATCCTTGAATTTCCATAAACAATTTTCAAGATTTCAAAGAGAAATTTTCAGTTTCTTGGGATTTATTTATGGAAATTCGACTTTGATTGTCGATAAACTGCAAATTCCCCCTCGAATTTCTATAAATAATTTCCAAGAATCTGGAAATTCCTTTTTGATTTTCTAAATGGGGAATTCCTTAGTGGGTCTGCGCCGAGTGGCGGTCCGACCAGGTTGTATTGGAGTTCATCCCGCTCCCTCATGCTTTTAAGAAATTTCTGGTGAACGCCGTCGATTTTGGGACCTTCCTACCAAAACTTTGCGTCACCACTGTCTCTGCCTAAATTAAAATTCTTGCTAGCATAGGCAGAATTATGATGTAAAGTGGAAACTGTCAAAGCTGACTTAAGTGTAATATGAGTGTCTGTACGTGAGCAATCGGTTAAAAATCTAGTAATATAAATTGAACGATACTGGATTTTTTTTTGACGCTTGGGATATAGTCATTGTGCTAGGTCAGGAAGAGTGAGATGGACGACTTTCTCTGTTCAACAAAACTGATAATACAGTTCGTTGTTTTAATTTTTACTTTGTACTTTAATTTTAATTTGACAAAACGTATTTTGTGCAGTTTTTCCAAGGGGGAAACAGCAGAATTCCAAGCAGCTGTGAACTTCCAGACCTACAGAAGCCTGGAGAATCCCATACAAACTTCTCAAAGTTGTACAAGAAAAAATCGGAAAAAGGGATTAGAATCCGATGGAATTCCGAAAATCTGTAAAAATGACTGAAAATGGGGCTAAGTGGAAAAAACGCGGGAAAAGTCAAAAACAGTCAGAAAAATTCTTCGGGCTCAGCGAAGTCACGAAGGATACCACGAAGTCTCCAGGAGTACAACAAAATTTGAAAAAATTGATTGCCTGTGGAATGGAGCGCAGGTTACAAAAGTCACAAAATCGACCGTTTCCCCTTGAGTTTTTCTCACTCTTTTCACTCATATGTATTGGAGAATTTTAAACCAAAGAGCAGCAAAAAAGGAAACGAAATACAAAATAGTCATTTTCAGAGAAGTATCAATCATAAGTTAATATGAGGGATGTATGATCACTTTTGTTGACCATTGTAGATTGAGGACCAATAAGAATATAGTAGAAGATGTCTCATAATTTTTGCACCAGATCTTGTTTATATTCACATCGAAAAATAGATTAAAATAAAGTGTCTAAATACGAAATTGCCGTAACCACTATGTCGTCAGATCCCTCCTCTGGTTATTTTTCCGCAATACAACAATTTAAAAGACCACAAAGATTTCAGCAACAGCCTGTGATAAATTCAAAAATTCACGCTTTTATTTCAAAAAACGAGATTTTCTACTTTTCGGTATCCTCTGAGAGCAGAATGTCTAAATCTCATTTTGGAAAAAGGATCTTCTTGAAGCATCGCGATTGCTATCTGATGACGGTTGGTAACGCCGAAAACAAGTGAGTTATAAGTTGTTATCTGTAGTTAAAAAATTCACTATTCGCTCGAAAAATATCTGAACAAGTTCAAAATTTCAGGATATACAGTATTTGTGGTCTTTTATATACTATTTAGAAGAAATCTGTGGTTTCCGGAAAGATTTTCTAGACACTCTATGGGAGAAAATATGCCTTTTCAATTCTTTTCTATCTAATCATCACGTTTAAGGCGGAGGGTCTGTAAAATACGAAATTTTAAAACGTTATAATATACATCGCCATGCCAGCTGCGTATAAGCCTTCGGAGATTCGTTTCCTGGAAAACCAGTTTTTCAAAACCTCTAAAAAATAACTAAAACCTTTCTTAATGGAACATAATTGTAGCCCGCAAATTTCTGTTCAAAATGAGACACCTCCCGGCTCTACACGATTTCTCTGCAAAGTTACGGAATTTACAAGAAAAGCCCTAAATGTTCATTGTCAGCTCAAATCTACAGATACAAGAAGAAATTAATTTAGAACTTTTCTTGTAAATTCTATAACTTTGCAAAGAAAGGTTGTGTAGAGCCGGGAGGTGTCTCATTTTAAATAGAAATTTGCGGGCTACAATTATGTTCCATTAAGAAAGGTTTTAGTTATTTTTTAGAGGTTTTGAAAAACTGGTTTTCCAGAAAACGAATCTCCGAAGGCCTATGCGCAGCTGGCGTGGTGATATTCGGAGCCAGCATAGCCGATAACCTATAACCCACTTGGTTTCTTTCAGAAAACGAGGGGACAGTTGGGAAGCTTCCCTCATGAGTCCAAAACTAGCGATATCTTCTAGTTTTTAGTTTTTTCTTCAGGCCTTCCTGGTTTGTAGAGGATACTTCGAAGTATATGTCCTGAAGTTTTTTCGGCTAACTGACATTATCTGGCTGAGAAAAAAATGAATTGCTTAAAAATATATTGTTAAGTTTTCGACTTACCGGGCGGCCAAAACTGAATTCTAAGACTTTTAGGGTAGTTCAACTTGTAGCCCGTGAAATTCTCTACTAGATAAGATATTGTTTGAGTTTGTTCATTGAGTCGTTAGTTTTCAAACGGGACTTTAATCTGGTAGAGTAGACTAAATTAACAGGAATTAGCACTAATTAGTCAATAACAGAAAGGAGAGAACAAAAACTTTTTGCATATTATCTGGTAATAAATATTCTCCACACATTTCTCTATCGATTAGTCAAGAATCAAGTTTTTATGATGAATGGAGAGTGGACAGGAAGTTTTTTAATAATAATGAGTGATCGATAGTAAATCGAGCGAATAGTAAAGTTTTCATCTATAGATAAAAACAGCCGGAAAACACCGAATGTGGGTAAAACTTGATTTTAAAATCTTTTTCTACAAATAAACATTGTCACGAGGTTCAGCATGATCAATTACCTATCACCCACTCGTTTTCGAAGTTATCAACAGTTACCGGATACCAATCGCAAGGCTCCAAGAAAATTTGATACTACACCCGTTTCACTGGATCGACGATACAGAATATCGAGCAAAACTTTAAAATATGAAATATTCTAATTTACAGATAGTGGAACATTAAGGTCTCGCTTGACGCCCATTTTGAGGCTGTTTACTGGCGCAAAAAAAAAACAATATTCCTATTTTAAAGAACGAGTGGCGGTTCTCTGAAGATCAACTAGAAAACGAAGTTTTAAACACAATTTTCAATGCTTTAGAGCATTGACTATAGAATGGCGAAAACTGTAAGTCTCTAAGATCTTTTCTTCTCGAATCACAATAGTCAAACTGGTTTAGCTTAGAATTACAGAATATATGAGTAGTTTCGCTTAACACTAGTTTAGTCAACAAATGAGTCGAAAGAGAATAATCGAAAGAAATAAGTTGAGAACACTTTTGATTTTTGAAAACTATTAGCTATACAATTTAGATAGTATTTGTACCATCTAATAAACAAATGTTTGATTCTCTTTTTTGGGTACTACTGATTTTCTAGCTTCGAGATTTTTGCACAATACTAGTAATTTTTTTATTGATAATTAATCGCACATGCATACATACTTGAACTAATAATACACAGTTAACTAATAAACGAATATATACGCACAAAGTATGTATGTTTACTAGAATTGTTTTTTTTATACATTAAGTCTAAATTTTCTCCTGTCAAATCAAAGACATTTAGTTTCTTATTTTCCATCAGAAAAGAACTATATATTGTGGGTGGGGTAACACCTACTGAATGATGTTTCCCTATTTAGAGATAAAGAGCAGAAAATATATCTACATACAGTCTAAATAACAGGACGTATAGTCAAGGATGTTTCCCAAAAAAGAAGAGAATAAGCATGTGCATAGTACAACATACATATAAGATCTATTACTAGAATAAATTGTTTTTATATTCATATGACAAAAAAATAATGATAACAATCAGAGACAAAATTTTACATACTTTGTAATAAAATATGATATTGAAGCCGTCTAAACTTGAGTTATAAAGTCACTTATATAAGATGAATCGTCAGTATAGGTTATCAATTTCATTCGAATGACTTTATTATTGTAAATTTAATTACAATGAGTCAGATTTGAACTTTAAGTATTTAAAATTCTGTTGAGCCCTTTGTCGACTTTATATCATTAAACAACACCAAATTTCCATGTTCTTGAAGTAGCTCTTTCTTTCTAAAAACTATTCCAATTAAACGGAGAATTTAATTTTTTTTTAAAATGTACTCTTTTTTATAAAAATCGATAGCTGTGGTTAAAGTATTGGTCGTGTTAACTGATGTCTTGTGTTCGATTCCTAGTTGAGACAAATTTTTTCTGTTTGCTTCTCGAAAGTTTCGTCGCTTCATATCAAAAGTCTCTGTTTTTAAGGGTATCTTCTCTCTTTTTGGGCTTTCCGTAGAAATGTTATGAAATAAAAACTAAAGGTCACTAAGTCTTCATATTTTCAGAACTGGTCGGAAAATCAGTGGAACGTTTTTTCGTTTTTCTTTCAAGTTTTTAACTATTACCCAGTCAAAAAAAATATCAAGAGGAGGAGTA